GGGGCTCTCAAATCTTCCCCCCAGGTGGTTACAGACGAGCCACCCGGGGCCTGGACACCGCATCCTCTGTCTCCCTTGTCTCTGCCTCTCGGTGCACCAGGGCCTCAGCCCATGTTCACTAGTCAGAGGCCCTGCAGTCAAACTGCCCATCCCACCCATATCTCATGCTTCCGTTTATGCTGTTCCCTGTACCTGAATGCTCTGGCCTGCCTTGCTAATGCCTTTTCATCTTTCAATATCCAGACTAAATGTTACCTCTTCTAGAAAGCCTTCGCTGACTCAAGATGGTTTAGCTGCCCCACCCTCACCATCAGGCCTCCACAGTTCCCCATGCCTCCTTCCCCATCACTGTGTGCATCACAGTGCACTGTCATCTTGTGTACATCCCCATCAAAGGCAGGGACCAGGACAGACCGACCCGTGCGTAGTACAGAGCCTGACACACAGAAGGCATTCCATCAGTAAACCAAAAGGTCCACACGCCAAGTCCCCACCATGGCACAGCCCTCCTGGATGCATCAGAGCAGGGAAGGTGCCACTCTCCAGTGGTGGGAGCCTGCTGTGTATGTCACACAGGATGAATGACAAGGATGAACTGGAGTTCGTTACGAGTTGCTTTGCAAAGGACTTTCTGCTTATGTTCACTCAAACCCTCACACTCTTGAGTGTTTGAGATTTTTGATGCTATTTTCCGTATGGGGTAGTGAGATCCCCAGAGGGTGAGTGGGCCATCCGGCCATATCCCAGAGGGGAGCTAGGGCTGGCATCCTGGACCTCTGGCTTCTAAGGCTCTGGAAATGATAAGGGGGACCATGAGGAGCCCAGGTCCCCCCACTTGGCACTCCTCCCTGGAGCCAGCTCCTCATGAGACTGAGGGTATCTCCACAGCAGGGAACAGCTGCAGCCCCAGCACCCAGCAGGCACAGAGGCAGCTGGAAGAAGGACTGAGGAATCACACTGAAGCTAAAAGCAGCGCTTCCTCCCAAGAGGAATAGGGCAGCTCTCAGGAGGGCGGAGGTTCCATTAATGATTCACTCATTGAACAAATATTTACTGAGCACCTACTACATACACGATACTAAATGCAAGGGACACAATGCTGACAAAGACAAGGTCCCTGCTCCAGAGGGGCTGACAACCTTATGGGGGAGACAATTACCTAAACAGATAAGGACACATGATAATTTAGGTAACGATAAGAGCTATAAACAATAAAACAAGTTGTGGCAACTAGGGGGCAGTTTTACACATGGCATGGTCAGAAAAGGTCTCTGAGAGGAGACTAAAGGATCTGAAGCAGCCATGCAAAGATCTGAACAGAAGAGCAGCACATGCAAAGGGCCTGAGGTAGGACAGAACTAGTGGGAATGCTGGAGGAACAGGAAGACCACTGGCAGTTCTGGAGCACAGCATGGCAGGAGATGATGTTTTAAGGTGGTGGGGGCTTCATGACCTCATGGAAGAGTTTTGAAGGTTTGATGTATGATGAGGGGCAACTGGCAGATCATCAGAGCTCTGGGGGCCTGTGATGTCTCTATCCATCAGGCAGCTGGGGGTGTTTCCTCCAAAAGCTTGGGAAGAGGGGATCTACCACCCCATCATGGAGACTGGGAGCAACTTTTACTCCTTCAGGAAACTGCTGAGGGTCTTCAATAGCCAGAACCCTGTGCTCAGCCCCTCACCACCTCTCTCTTGGTTAAGGAGGCAAATCACAGACTGGGAAATGCATCTAGATTCCAGGCCTCGCTTTGATAACTCTGAACCAGTCCCTTTTCTCTGGGGCCCTCAGTATCCCACAGGTAACTTGAAGGCTGGACCAGACCCAGCACGAACAGATAGCTTTGATTTTATGACTCAAGTATTTGCTGCTGAATTTGAGGTGGGAGGATGGAGGTGGAGCAGGATTTCCACACTGGCTACTGAGTCACTCAACCTGCCAAGAAAATATCACTCTTGGCCCTCCTTTCCCAGCACACAAGAGCCCTTGGCAGCACAGAGGGCCCCCAAAGTGGCCTCTGTGCTGTTAGGGAAGTGGTACAGGGGAGAAAGACATCTACAAAGAACCAGGGGAGAGGGGAACAGGAGAGTGCCATTCTTCTCCTATGATTCAGGATTGGGTTAGGGGACTGTCAACCCTCAGTTCCAGAGTTAGCCAACAACCTAACCTCCTAGTTTCACTCCCTACCGAGCTCCTGCTTGCATACCCCCGGTAATGGGGAGTTCGATCCTTACCCACACCAAGTCTTTTACAGTCCTCAACAGCTATTAGAAAGGATTCCTCCATCATATCAGAACCTGCCCCCTGTAATCCTACCCCTGTTCCTGGTCTTGCTTTTTGGAGGCACATCGAACAAACAAATCAGCTCGGAATTTTACTAGAGTTGCCACGATTTTGTGCTGGGTCCTGTGCTAAACCCTGAGGATATAGGCAGTGCCCGCGGGTTCTGTCCCGAAGAGCCTCTGGTCCAGGGGCAAAGGCAGGAATGCACATGTGACTAACTCAGCCTCCACCCCAGGCACAGGATAGTCCTTCAGAGATTAGAAATTACCAACACAGACCCCCGCCTCCCCCAACAGACACCCACCTACCCATGCTCCCACAGCTGGCTTTCTCTTTTGGCCAACAAACCAGTTACCAAGGTATCGACTTCAATCTCTCACCCAACGCAGGACTTCCTTTCACAGAATCCATGGTCTCTCCTTGACTATCGCCACTGACCAGGTGTTCGCCACCTCACAATGGTGGCAACTTATCCAGAGAGGCAAACCAGGCCACTGGGGAGTGTCTTCCAAGACCAAGGATGTAGAAAGCCATCTAATGAAGATGCCCAGATAACATAGCATTTGCTTCAGCACCCTCCCCTACCCCACCCAGCCTTTCACCAAAGCAGGTCCAGAGAGCTACCACGTGACTGGTTTGCATTTCATACCAGCCCTTGCTACATCCCATGATGGAATTCCTTGCAGCCAGTTAAAAAAAAGGGAGTGTGTGTGGGGGGGGGGGGGTGGGGAACAAGTTTTAAAGATCTGAAAACAACATGGGGATATTAAATGAGTTGGTCACTTTTATTGACTACAAGTCCTCCTGAAGTACAGGTGCTAGGTCAAAAACATGAGAGTCAACAACTCCTAGAAGGATGCAGCTCACAGCCAGTGGACAGCAGAAGTGAGGGAAGGGGATCTCCGGGAAGGACTGCCCTAGAGAGCATCCTTATCCCATCCCCTGGAGACAAAAGCATTTTTATTTTTTATTTATTTTTTTTTTTAATTTTTTTTTCAACGTTTATTTATATTTATTTTTGCGACAGAGAGAGACAGAGCATGAACGGGGGAGGGGCAGAGAGAGAGGGAGACACAGAATCGGAAACAGGCTCCAGGCTCTGAGCCATCAGCCCAGAGCCCCACGCGGGGCTCGAACTCACGGACCGCGAGATCGTGACCTGGATGAAGTCGGACGCTTAACCGACTGCGCCACCCAGGCGCCCCGACAAAAGCATTTTTAAAAGCATGAACATGGGTAAGTCCCTTCCTTCCCCTGACATGGGCATCAAAGGGCAGAGTGAACAGAAAAGCACTCTTAAGTGAGAGAAGAGGCTGTCATAGGCTATTGGGCTGGATGCACGGAGCAGGCTGCTTGCCCCCAAAATGGCAACAAAGCTCAGTACCTTTCCAAGGGCAATGCCAATGCCCAGGACATAGTTAAACCGTGATGCAGTGCTGGGGTGGGTTACTTTGCAGCTACTAGAAGATTATAAGTGATTCTGAGGAACAGAGGAACTACTCAGAGAAAATAGGATTTAGAACTATATCTGCAGGATGCCCTCAACTTTATATAATGTGTATAAATAAAATCATAAAGGAATATACTCAAAGAGCAATAGGAAGCCATTTTTGGATAGTTGATTGGCCAGCCATTGTTATTTTGTTCCCGTTTTTCTCTAGTTTTCAAAATCCCAATAACTAGTAAGTTTTATTTTCGTAATGAAGGTGGGCAGGGTAGGTGATTGTCAGTTACCGAAGGGAAAAAAAACGCTAAGTAGGAGAGGTTCAGCAAACAGATTAAAGCTTTAGGCGGAGGGAGGGAAACTTCAGAACACACAGACCCAGGACAGCAGTGATCACTTCCCAGGGTCCCTCTTGGCCAAGGCGTCTGTTAAGGAAACCTCCGGAAGGTATATCTTTTCCCATCAATTTCTCCAGCTATAAGTGAATATATATATTCACCAAGGGCCTCAGCTCCACGCTGGTGGAACAGGAACATGGGCCACATGGAGGGTACCCAGGGTCCCCCCACCCCACCTTCTCAGGGTGCCAGGCTCAGTCACTGCTGAGTGGGCTCCTGAGACTGGCTGGAGGATGGCAGTAGGGCAGGGTACAGTGTGGGCACACCTGTCCCAGCCAGGCATGTTCCCAGTCTGGTGGCTATTTCAGAAGATTGCAAAACCTTGCCACTCGGCCCCATCCAGTCTCTCATAGCATGCTCCACCCGGTGAGGAGAGAGGGGAGGGAACTCGCAGGGGCCACAGACAGTGCTGGGGGTTGGGGAGGAGTTGTTAAATATCAACCTCATCTCACAGATGGGGAACACAAGCTGGGGGTGGGGGTGGGGGGTGGAAAGTGATGTAACAGGGGTTTCAAAACTTGATAAGTGCCAGAGTGAAGAATGAACTCAGACTACCATGCCGCCTGCATCTGACTAGGTCACCGGGATCCTTCCTTCTTCCCCGACCTAGGTGCGCTGCTGGGAGGGGGCGGCAAGCTTTGGAAAAGAAAAGAGAAAAGGGGTCGGGGACCTCAACCCGCACACTGGCCAGTCCTCCAGCAAGGTACCCTCGTTATAAGAACACACTCCTGCCTGCCTCCCAGCCCTCGTCACATCCTTTCCCGAAAACCCGCGTGCAGCTTCCCAGCCCGGAATGGAAGCCGCCGAGGCCCTGCAGACCCCCGGGGCGGCGACGGCTCGTCTCCCAGACCCCTGTCCCACCGGCGGCCCCGCTCACCTCGCAGGACCCCGGAGTAGGCGGCTATGAGGGTCTTCATGCTGAAGCCGCTGCAGCTCACGGCCCCGCGGGAAGCCGGCTCGCCCTACGCCCCTGGCCCATGCCCCGGCCTCCGGGGCCAGGGCTTCGCGCCGAGCTCGGGGGGCCGGCCGGGGGACGGCGCCGACGCGGGGAGCTGGGGACGCACCGCCCGTCGCGGCCCGAGCAGCTGCCGAAAGCGGGCCGTCGGTGGCGGCCACTGCGCTCGGCGCTCGGAGCGCGGCGCTTTATCACCTCACAACGGGGGCGGCCCGACGCGGGCTGGGGCGGGGCCTGCCGTTCCACCCGGCCCGCCCTTCGTCCTCCGGGAGCGGGAGCGGGAGCGCGCGGCGGCGCGGGAGGGCGCGGGAGGGCGCGGGCTCCGGGGCTCTCGCGCGACGCGCGCCCCCGCCGTGCTGCCGCTCCCGGCTCCCTCCGCCGCCGTCCCGCGGGCACCCGTGGCTGCTGGGCCCGGACGCCGAGCTCGTGCAGCCCGCCGAGCGCCTTAGCGGGTGGTACCTGCCCGAGGCCGGGCCTGCGCTTGGCTAAGATGCTAAGGTCCCGCCTCGCGTCGCTGGTGCCGGGATTCGTTAGGTTAGGCCTGGGCTCCCAAGCCACCCAAGCGGCCTCTACCTTTCCATCTGGTTATCAAGACACACCACGGAGCGTCTGTACACTGCGGGGTGCTGGGGACCCAGCCCAGCCCGCCCGGTCCCTGCCCGGGGCCGTGGCATGTCACGTTGGTGAAGGGTCGGGGTCGGGGGCGCCTGAAACAGCCACTCACAGGTGCTGACGGCAGTTGCAGGCACAGGACCCCGAGGAGAGAGGGCCCCCCACCCCCCACCTCGGCTGGGGTTGGATGCACTTCCCGGAGAGGTGAGCGCACTGCAGTTTCAGTCTGGTTCTGGCCCTGCCCTCCGTGGACCTCAGTTTCCATATCTGTCAAGTGAGAACAATAATTTTTGTGAAATGCTTTGAGAACTAAATGAGGTAAGGTACAAAACCAAAAAAAAAAAAAAAAAAAAGCCTAGCATAGTGCCAGACACATGTTCCAAAATTATTTTCATTGCCCGTCGATGAGTAGTTTTGTAGATGGAGTCTGTCGGGGCAAGGAAGAGAGACGGATGGAATGTCTTAAACTAGGAAGGTTGACAGGAGACGACATTGCCCCTGGGCTACTGGACCGGAGATGATCAGTACGTTTCTGCCGGGCTGAGAGGAAGGAGAAGGGCATTTGGGCAGAGGCCACAGCACGGGAAAAGGCCTGGAGATGGGAACCCTGAGTGCCCTGGTGTGGCTGGAAGAGAGATGCAGGTCGGGGAGGAGTAGGAGATGAGGCTGGAGAGGTAGACAGGGGCCAGATCTGAAGGGCCTTGTAATCCGGCCAAGAAACTTGGACTTCATCCTGTGGGGCATGGACCAAAGGAGGGGTGTGAAGAGCAGGGCACCTTGATTAGATTGGAGGTGGGCTGGCAGTGTGCAGATGGGGGCTTGGGGAACAGGGCAATAAAACGTGTCTCCAATTTGGGCCCTTCACAGACATGTGGAAACATCCAGCAGAGGATACAGAGGCAAGTCCAGCGGCTGAGAGGGGCAGCCTCTTTGCTTCTGAGCCAACTCACAGAGTGAGGACTCCCTCCTGTAGGCCCCCAGCTGCTCACCCATCCCTGCTACTTAAGCAGCTTGGTCCAGACTGGTTTTGGATGGAAAACCAGACCCAGAACTGGAGTAGTCCAGGGAGAAAGTTTCTTGGCAGTCTTCTTTGTCCTGGGACCGTTGTCTCCTGCAAGAGGTGAGCATGGGGGACCCACACCAGGCACTGACTTCTCCTGGCCCCCTCCCCACACATCCTAACATCCTCACATTCCTGTCTGGAATGGTCTGCCTTGTTCCTCCTGCAGGTATGTGAGCAGGATGGCTCTGGGACCTGAGTCCCTTTTCCTTTATCTTCTCCCTATCCAAGCCCATGGGTGCTTTGGCCAAACCAGGGATAGAGAGGCCAAGTCAAGCTGCCAAGCAGGACTTGACCAGGGTGGGCTTCACCAAAGGTGGCACGTTCCAGCCCGTCCCGCTCAGTCACCAGTGTTGTGTTGCCATTGGGAATTCTGGGTGCGGCTTTGTAGCTTGTGGGGGGTTAGACACTTGCATGTCAGAGACTCCTTCCAGTGACAGCAACCTTCACCCTTCCACTGCACACAGCCAGCCTGCAAGGCCCAGGGGACACTTCCCCTAAGGGAGGCACAGGGCAAAAGGCAAAAGGCAAAAGGCAAAAAAAAAAAAAAAAACCCAACAAAAAAAACATTTACCAAGCACCTGCTCCATGCCAGGCCCTGCATGGCCTGTGTGCACTTACCCAATCCTCACAGCTGCCCTGCAAGGGGTGCTTATCACCCCCGTTTGCAAATGAGGTACAGAGAGTTAAAGTGATTTGTCCAGGATCACAAAGTGAGGAAGTAGTATTAAGCTGGGATTTCTATTCAAGCCTTCCTGAACCTCAGAGCCCGTGTGCTTTCCCTAACACATGAAGACTGGGGAGAGGGACCAGCCCAGACACTGGAACTACTTGACAGAAGCAAATGCCCATTTATTACTTTCTTTACACTGCCCCAGCCCGCAGCCCTGTGAGATTCTTCCCCTTGCACAGTCAGGAAAACCGAAGCTCAGAGAATCGAAGAGTTTGCCAGATGTCAGTGTTGGGGCTGGGGTTTGAACCAGTTCTCATGCCCGAGGCTAGGGCTTGTCCGGGTCAAACTCATTCCCAGTGCTCAGCTCCCTTGGAGAGTGGACGAGGAGAGCCTGACATGGTCCTGTGGTCCAGAAACTCACCCACCTCCTCCTTCCTCATCCAGGAATTTGCCTGGCAGGGCGGCTTTGTGGCAGGGCTGCACCCCTCCTGGGACTGCTTCCCTCCCCTTTCAAGCCCCCAAATGTCCTCCTCCTGAGTGACTTCACCACATGCTGCTTGGTCATCCAGAGCCAGATGGTATACAGTGTTGGGTGCCAGGCTCAGGAGTCTGGACTTTATCCTCAGAGCAATACGGAACCATAAAGGGTTTTAGCAGGGGTGACAAATGGTCAGTTTTGTGCTCTAGAAAGATAATTGTCCAAACAAGAACACTTTCAGCTGTCACCTCCGTGGCATCCTTCCTTTTTACCTATGGCCTGTGTTAAGCAGGGTCCCTGCAGGAGACAGCGTATCTGTACTTGGGTAACTTGAGGAAATTTTAATACAGAAATTTTGCAACAATGTCAGCAGGGTGTGCAGCTAAGCTCAAGGGTTGACACAGTACCCCAAGGCTGGTAACACTGTAGGGACATGTGGCCTGAAGGTCCAAAGAGAGGAAGCCAGTCAGAGTGAGAGCTGGGTAGAGAGGGCCACCTGATAGAAGCCCCGGCCTTCATTGAAGGGGCACAGACAAACCCTGGTGACCTGGCAGAGTCACCCTCTGTCCCTCCCTCTAGTCTTCTGCCGGGCTTCCCACTAGCCAGAGGGTGAGGGAGCCCGATGATGCAGTCCATACAGAGAATTCAGGAAATGTGCAGGATGAAGGTAGAGAGTGGGTCTGGGAGGGTAAATGGAAGGTGTGTAACACATGGCCTCAGAGGACCCTTTCTCAGCTCTGTGTCCCCATCAGACCCCTGGCTTCTCTCTTTCAGAGCACCTGTACCCTTGATACTTACACACCTGATTTGCGCAGGAGAGGCTACTTGAGGGCAAAGGTGGAATCAGAGGGCTCTCTGTGACCCAGTGCCCAACGCTGGGCCTGGTCCACAGAAGGGATTTGGGTAATACTAGATAGCAAGAAAGGAAGGAAGAAGAGAAGGAAAGGAAAGGTGGGGGACAATGAGTATGACACAGCCTGCACCAGAGTGATAGCAGGGCCAAAGAGAAGAACGGAAAGTTGGAGAAATGCTGCTGCCTTAGAATCTCTAGGATTTGGTGACATGGACCTAGGGCAGAAGGCACAAAGGGATGATTGAAGAGGACTTCAGGTTTCAACCCTCCCAGCTCTAAGGCCAGGCATGGCGGGGGGGGGGGGGGGTGGCGGGCGGAGGACGGTGAGGGACTGGTTAGTAGCCTTTGGCCCTATCCTGGGTGACAGGCCTGACCAGCTGGAGAGAAGCAGGGCTGAGACCCTTGGGAACAGGCCAGCAGAACAGCCCCGGCCCCATTTTAGAATACTCTGTTGCAATATGTACCGAAAGTCCCCCTTGCATCATTCTGTCTGCAAGTTTCTTACTCAATTTCTCCTAAGACCGTTCCCCTGCAGGGAAAGGGGGCAAACCTTATGTTGCCCAGAGAGCTCCTCATGCATTCTGTCTGCCCCCTGCATCTGCCTCCCCTTCCTGAAACCCTCCTAGCCCCGTGCTGGGCTGGGGGTGCAGCCCCTGATCTCCAGGAAACTGCATTCTGACTGAAGAAGCAGACATGTTATAAAAAACAATTACTATGTGTGATGATGGATGTTAACTAGACTTACTGTGGTGATCATTGTGCAATATACACATCTATTGAATCATCTTGTACACCTGAAACTAATGTTATATCTCCATTATGTTTTTAAAAAGACCATTACTATTCAGCAGTTGTTTCCCCAGCTTTCTTTAGCAGTAACACTCCTTCAAACCCAGCCTTGTTCAGAAGCCTGTGAGGTACGGGCACAGATGATGGGGGCCACTCTGGTTTGGCAGGGGTGGCCCCAGGACTCCACATGGTCAGCCTCTTACTCAGGCAGCCTCTGCACCCCAGTCTCCAGGGCTCTGGGGACACAGCTGGAAGCTCTCTCAGTGCGGCGTAGTGAGTGCTGGGACCAGGGATGGTGAGGCCCATGTTCCCCACGCCAGAAGCAAAGTGCCAGGCCCTAGAGAGCCGGTCACATCCATCTCACCAAGCAGGGGCTCAGGACAGGTCTGTTAATGGATCATTTTTATAATAATTATGCTAAGTATTTGTGGACAAGTCACTTCTCCTAATCCATATGCACTGAATAAGCCCTGACCTTGCCGACTGCTAATGTTGCTCATGGGGTTTGAACCCCAGTTTCCCTGTGCTCCATCCAAATGGGAATAGAAGTACCTCCTTCCTAGGATTGCAAGGACTAAAGTAATGAATGGAAAGTGCCCAGCACAGGGCCTGGCATTTGACAGGATTTGCAGTATTTGACAGATGTTGTTATCCATAGAAGTATTATGATCGACAATAAGAATCAG